CTTTGCGCTCACGGGAGAGCTGGGAGGGGCCCTTGAGGTTTCCCCGCTGTGTGGAGCGGGGAGCTAGGGGGTTACAAACATGTAGCTGCCGCTGGTTTCAATGAAGTTATCTCCTCCGCTGCATTCTGGTGATGTCGGTTCTCTGCCATGGTGATATCCCATGCGAATGGCGACAGTTCGTTTCCTTTGCCGGGTTACCAATGCAATGGGTGCCGACAAGTTGTTTCAGTGGGATCGGGATCGTTTAGTGCTGAGTCACAGCAGTTTGTCTGCAAGACGCAGGTGAACGGGAGCCTGAATTCAGCTACTCCAGGCTCGGTGTGTGTTATGAGAGGTGCAGATTGTTCGCCCCAGATCCACCTCAGCTCAGCATTGCCTAGTGCTTCTGAGCAAACAGCATTTCGATGGTTTAAGACTCCCTATGCCCGTGCAGCTGAAGAGATCAGAGACTTGATCTCTCTGCGCCTGCCGCCATGTTGGATCCTCCAGCCCAACAAATCTACTTCAATCTTTTTAAAAAAGAAAACCGATTTTCACTTAGACCTTTGTCTCAGGATTTAAACTGGGAGGATCCCAGGCTTGGTAATGGAAGTCCTAGCAAGAGCTCTTTGTGGTAGTGATTTGGATTTGAAACATGGATTTGGGAGACCAATCTTACATGTGACTGAGTCACATTCCCTGGCTGGGTGCTGAGGCACTCAGTTGAAGAAATGTGGCGGAGCTTTCCCCACCCTTCTTGGGTTCGAGAATCGGTGTCTCCTGCATGGGTGTGTCTTGCTACAGCTCCATGGGTGAAGCTTTGCATACCTGTTCCTTTGTAATACAACCCCTTGCCCTGTTTAGGATAGAATCTTCCATGGAAGTGCCTTTTGTGTGTCCCCTTCTCTTACTGTGCCCTTGAGTGTGGCCTACCCAGGTGTCAGTCAACCTGCTGACAGTGGACATCATGAAGATAGACACAGCCCCCTGAAACCTGACCCCTTGCCTCATTTGAATAGCTTTTCCTCAATAAAAGGGGTCATCGCGTGCTCTTGCTCTCTCTCTTCCTTCAGACCCTTTAGGTCAGAGGAGCCATCACAGCGACCCCAAAGAAAAAGGTATTTGTGTCTCTTGTGTGATTATTTCATGCAGCCCAGTCAGCCCAGTTTAACTGGAGTGACCCCTGAGCCTTTTAGTCTCGAGAACAGAAACCCAGCACATGGGGGCATTTGAACTGATATTCACAAATGACTCATGCCTGTAACCATCCCTAACAAGGCCACAGATTGTGAATGAGGCCATTGTGAATTCTGCAGACCAGTGTGTTGTTTGTCATCTGAATATGACAGAATGTCTTCAGTTGGAATCACTTGGAGCAGAAGTGTCACATAGCCAAACCTGACACAAATGTATGCTCAAAATAATAATGGAATCATTAACTATAATAAAATATTCATTGTTTTAAGTCACTAAGTTTGGGAGTAAAATGTAACTTACCCTGGTGATTGTCATTTACCTTGATTACAATGAGGAAACAGTGTTCCTTGTTCAGAGTGGTGTTTGAAGGAGTATATAAAACAAGGGGCCACCACATGGCTTTTCTGTGGTTCATGTTGAACTGACAGTACCAGCAAATGCAGTCAAACAAAGTCAATGTAAGGAGAACTCAGAATTCTTACGGTGATGATTTGCTTCATTTCATAAGGAAGATAGAACATCTGATGGTGTCCCTGAAGATAAGGAAATTATCCTTATACTTAAGAGGATAAGGATATTAAGTAGTCTATGGTCTGAATTAAGTGTCTCTGCAACAATCAAATGTCCTCAAGGTGACAGTATTAGAGGTGGGAGCTTTGGAGAAATAATTAAGTCATGGATGTCCTCACATCACAAATATAATTAGTGCTCTTGTAGAAGACATCAAAAGGGACAGCCAACTCATTTTGCCCTTACAGCATATCAGAACACAGCAACGATGGCCATATTGGAGATAGAGTGAGCCTTTAGCACACACCTAAATCTTGGACTCTCCAGCATTCATAATTGCATGAAATAAATTTCTATTATTTACAAATTATCATGTTTATGATGTTTCTAGAGCAAGAAAAATGGACCAAGGAAAGTGATAAAAGAAGGAGATGAAGAATATCAACTATGTTCTTCAAACATGCCATTGCACATGGGAAGTGGCTTTCCCCCTAACATGGCTTTATCAAAATTTTGTGGAGTTTCCTGTTGATAGCCCATTTGTTATGGTTCATAAATTAGGTGACCCTCAAAGCAGATTATGAGAGCTATAACTTAATCAGTGGATTAATCCATTCATTGGATTAATAATTTGAAAGGACTACTGTCTGTACTTTGTGGTAAATGATGGCAGGTAGAGTGTGGCTCAAGAATGGATCATGGAGGTGATGCCTGTGGGCATATATTTTGTCTCTGAAGAACACAGCTTTCTCCCTCTGCTTTTGGCTACCATGAAGCTAGCCACTTCCCTCTGCCACACCCTTCTGCTATGATGCTCTGCCTCACTTCAGCATGGAGCAAAGAAATCAGCTGATCATGGACTGGCCTCTGAAACCAGGAACTCAAAATAAATTTTTCCTCCTCTGACTTGTTCTGGTCAGGTATTTTGGTCACAGTGCCAACCCTAACTAACACACCTTTTGAATAGACTCTATCTTAGACCGTCCAACTAGAGGAGCAAGTAGACTGAATTATGAGTGAGACTGTATCAGAACCTCTGTGCACCACTTAATATTCCTCATAGTCACACTTTTTACTTCAGATTATGTTATTGCATCCAGGTCCAAATGGGCTGGGACAAGTTCCATGCTGGTGAGCACCCGTACCTCTGCTATTTGTACTGCTCCGAGGCTTCTCTGATGCTCTGTCTGGATTTTTGATTAGAACACACTTCTTGTACAAACTAGAAGTTAGGCCTGTGGGACAAGTCTTCTTCCCAAAGGGATAGAAGAAATTATTGCTTTCCTTTTTTGACTTCTTGGGGGCATAGTTCTGAAATGCATTTTGTATCATTCCAAAAACATTCCAGTAGAGGTAAATGGTTGTAACACAGCAGTGTCCAACTTGATAACCCATTCTTCTATTGACTTCTCTCTTTCCTGTTTCACTCTATCTCTATTTCTACTCCCTGGTATTATATTTCTATAAAATTACTTGTAAGCAAGGCTTCATTTCAGTCTCTACTTTCAAGTTAAATAAAGCTTAGAAAACTAGCACTTGCTGTTTTAGGTACCAGAATATCTATGTTAGATGATTTATCAAAATGAGTTTAGCAGAATCTTTTATTCCTATTCTACTTCAAGCTTCTAGTTTCTTTCACTCCCAGTAGCAACTCAGGTTTCATTCTGGACACCTATGTGCTTACTTATCTTATGACAGATATGTAGGAAGTGACAGCTCTGTGTTGCAATGGATCCAGACTCTACTATTTTTAGTTTTATTGATTTTATTTTTTTAAATACATGACAGTGAAATGTATTACAATTCTTATTACACATATAGAGTACAATTTTTCATATCTTTATATATAGAGTATGTTCATGCCAATTCATGCCTTTATACATGTACTTTGTTGGGTTTTTATTTTGCGTTACAATTCTTATTACACATTTATACCACAATTTTTATATCTCTGTTTGTATATAAAGTATGTTGACACCCAATTCGAGCCTTCATACATGTACTTTGGATAATGATTTCCATCACATTCCACCATCCTTGCTAATCCCTTGCCCTTTCTCTTTCCCTCCCACCCTCTTCCTTATCTAGAATTCATCTAATCCTCCCATGCTATAGCTCATTTAGTAGAGTGCTTGCCTTGCATGTACAAGGCCCTGGGTTCAATTATCAACACCATCATAAAAAAAAAGAATTCAGCCATGTAGTCTAACTACTTTTCACCTCCCCAGTAGGTCACCACCTTCCTTAGTTGAGACAATCACAGGAAACTCAAACAACTCTCTTCGCTTTTTGGTTAGATCTCTTTACTTATTCATAAATATATTAAATCAATCAATAAATTGAATAAACAAATGGCTATATTATCTTCAATATTTGAAAAATGTGACATGAATTTGATGTGGACAGTTGACTCAATTAAAACTTCTCACAAATCACTCCCCACCCCATTTTAAAGGCACAGTTCACTGGTGCTACAGTGAACATCTAACCCAAGCTAATTTAGTGTTGCTTCTTCAATTAAGGCATCTAGGTTGGTTCCATAGTTTGGCTATTGTGAATTGAGCTGCATCACTGTAGTATGCTGATTTTAAGTCCTTTGGGTATAAACTGAGAAGTGGGATAGCTCTGTCAAACTGTTGTTCCATTCAAAGTTTTTTGAGGAATCTCCTTACTGCTTTCCATAATGGTTGCACCAATTTGCAGTCACACTAGTAACCAAATAAATAAGTGGGATAAGAAACTTTACAGACACTTCAGACAAAAAAAAAAAAACACACAATTGATCAACAAATATAGGAAAAAATGTTCAACATCTCTAGCAACTAGGAAAACACAAATCAATAATCCTGTAAGATTTCATCTCACTCCAGTCAGAAAATGGCAATTATCAAGAATACAAGCAACAATAAATGTTGGTGAAGATATGGGGAAAAATTATATATTGCTGGTGGGACTGCAAAAAGGAAGGTATTTGATTCATTACTGCTCTCCTATATGTAAGAAATATTAAGTCTCTTATCCATCATATTATAGAAAACACATTATTGTATCCAAGAATTTTACAGAGAAAAAAATAATATTCACATATTTGTGCAAAGACTTTGCCTAATAACAAAGAACTCAGTTTATTATACATAACTTTCTGGTAGAGGAATTCCAAACATAGTTACCACTGATGGTAGGAAAAGTATGGTAAATCTAAGTAGGTTTTGATTTGGCAATACATTAAAAATGCTACAGATAAAATTTTTAGTAGAAAAGGTCTGCCTAGTGTCTGAATGTGAGTAAGTTGAACTGTGCTTCCATCAACCTAGGATCAATTCCACCTAGGACCACACGAGTCCACTTGGGAAGAGGCTCATTCCTTAGGGGAACCTTGAGATGACTAGAGACCCAGCTTAAATCTCAACTGCAGTCTGTTAGAGACAGAAGTAAAGGATCTGCTAAATCACACCTGGATTCAAGTGATCTTCAGAAACTGAGATAGAAAGTTTTGTTTCAAGCCACTAAGTTTTGGGGAAACTTGTTTGGTACTAACATAACTAATCAAGAAACTTATCTCTTAACACCACAACTTGCTATTATCTCATTTGTGTATTTATATGAACTGAGTTACACTGCTGTTTTGTGATGTTTTACAACGTGGGTTCATCATTACATTTTTAGATTCATTCAAGTTGTTGAGTTCAGTAATAATAAGATGTTTCTATATGTACCTAGGAAGAGAACAATTTAGTTACATAGTATGTATTTGTTCATTTCAGGGTAGATAATAGGAAACAGTTTTAGTACAACTTTCCCAATTTATGTTCTCACCAGGAGAGAATAACAATTTACAATGTTTCACATGCTAACCACCTCTCACAAGTGCCAGAACTTTAAATTGGCATGAATCTAGTGAGTGTATAGTTTTGAGGTGTGTGTGTGTGTGTGTGTGTGTGTGTGTGTGTGTGTGTATTCTGTTAATCTTTGGTTTGCCTTTTCATTTTCTTAATGTTGTCTTTGAAGAATAAGAATTCTTCATTTTAATATAGTTAAACTGATATATTCTTTGTTTACATTTAGTGCTTTTCTGTCCTATTTCCCAACCTAGAAGACATGAAAGAATGTCCTGACAATTTCTGAAAAAAATTGGTTTTCCTTCACATTTTGGTCAAACATTCACCTAAAATTGATTTTTTCCCTGAATGCCAGGAGTATTATTTAATTGAGTTTTATTTCTTTCACATACAGATATAAGCTACCCTGGAACCATTTAGAGAAAGATTATCCTCTCCCTGTAATTGCAGTGGCTTGGCTGTCCATGTAAGTGTAAACCTGTTCTGTGCCCTCTGCTCAGCTGTACTGCTCTGTTGCTCTGTACTTGCAACAGGACTGTTCTCCATGAACTCTCTAGTCTTTGTTTTTATTCACAAATGGAATAACAATATTTGAGCTTTTGCGTTTTCTTTTTTTTTTAAGAGAGAGAGAAAAAAAAATTTTAAACTTATTTTTAGTTTTCGGTGAGCACAACATCTTTATTTTATTTTTATGTGGTGCTGAGGATAGAATCCAGTGCCCCGCGCATGCCAGGCAAGTGCGCCACACTTGAGCCACACCCCTAGCCCCAGCTTTTGCATTTTCTATAAATTTTAAATAAAGCTTCACCCAAAACATCCAATGGAATTTTGTTTGGAATTGCATTGGATCTAAAGATAAATGTGGGGAGAAATGATATCTTAAAACTACAGGATATTATAATACATTATCTAGATTTTTTTTTTCACTTGTTAACCCTAAGTCTCTCAGGAATATTGAATAATTATCTTGTATAACCTGGCAAATTTAGTTAGATTCATTCATAAATAAGATTTAAATAAACTATTTGAAACATATATATAAATAAGGAAAAGTGTTCATAAATGTACAACTCACTAAATTTACACAAATGAAACACATCTACTTTGTGAGCACTAAAATAAAGACTCACAACATGTCTAGACTCTCAAAATCCTTCTCATATCCCTGTTCAGTACATATTTTCCTGAAGAAAAAGCAGATCAAGGACTAAGTTCATTCCAGAGACACTTAAATGGCTTCAAGGAGAGACTGAGGCCATATTGGGTTGTTGTGTGACCTCTGTAGCTTTACTTTTCAGGCATGGTGAAGATGACCTCCCTGCTTGTGGAAGACAATCTGAGACACAGTTGCATCAATTACCTTCTGACACTGTCACTCCCATAAGCAAGATTATCCAGACAGAACATGGGAGTGCAGTGAATTTCACCAAAGATGTGGATGTGGGAACTTTTGCCTGAGATGTCTTGGCCTCTCATATTTGAAGTAACCAACAACTCTCATGCCCCTTTCCAATTCTCTAGCTTCACTCTCCCTCTTTTCTTTCTGCATTTGAAACAAGTACCACAGGCAGTTCTGATGTAATTTGTGCATGTGCAATGCATTCATAAAAGGTCAGAGTAAACAAACAAGAATAAACATCAGTGTTACTTTTACAGATGTCCAGCGTAAATGAGATGGAATTTTTCTATGTTAGAGAATCTTTGCAATCTCAAGCATGGCTACTACCAAAATATGCAAGAAACAAATTCTTGAATTTAAGGTGTCTGAAAGGTAAACCTCTTTTCTCTCTGTTTCTAAGGGGCTCAGCAAGGAGCCTCCAGGGAGCACATGAGGACAGCAGGCAAGAAGAAGTGACCCTAGAGCAGTAGCTCTGCAAGGACTGAGGTTTGTTCCCTCAGTTCCAGAAACAACATGAGCACACATTTCAGACATGTCGGTAAAGTGCAATTTTGCTTTAGATATGAGGTGTTCCCCAAAAGCTTGTGTTTAAGACAATGAAAGACAGTTTATAGGTGAAATGATTGGGTTATGAGAGCTTTAACCTAATCAGTGAATTGATGTACTGATATGGAATGGCTGGAAAAGGTGGGTCACTGTGGGAGAACTTTGGGGTTTATATTTTGTTCTGGTAAGCAGAGCTCTCTCCCTCTGCTTCCTGGTGCATGGCCTGCTCTGCTTCCTTATGGTGATCCATAAGATCCACTCTGGTGATCAGCCTCATTGTTGGCCCAGAGCAATAGATACAATGGATTTGGTTGTCTGTGCTCTGAAGCTCTGAAACTGAGAAACAATTTAACTTTTCTCCCTCTACATTTTTTCTTGTCAGGTTATTTGGTCACAGCAACAAAATGAAAGTTGACAAACAAAGATGAACTCTTGTGTCCCTTGTAGAGGTCTTTATTGCAGGCTTAAGTGAACACATCAGGAGGAGCAGCACATTGTGGTAGTGCCTGGCATAGTTTTCTCCCCACAGCTGTCTCTGGACCAATGGAGATGCTGAGCCACCTGAGGTGCAGCTCTCCTGCGCCACACACCATGAGGCTATCTGCACTTCTTCCTGATACCTTTGTCCATCCATTATTGTGAAATTCATATTTTTTGTTAATTTCTTGTCTTTGCTTTCCACATTTACCTTCTCTGAAAAAGTACTCATATGTCACTAACAATGATCTTTGCATATCAATAAAAATATTTACATGTGCATTTATAAGTATAATGCTTTGTTGTGGGTATGAGTTTACCCAAAAGATCCTTTGTTAATGCAGGGATACTTACAGGTGCAATGATTGGATTATGAGAGCTATAACCCAGTCCAGTCCATCCTAGTTAGAATGGAGTGACTGGGTAGTTAAATGTAGGCAGATGGGGCATGTTTGGTAGAGGTGGGTACAACATCACTGTGGTCCCTTAAGCTTTCTCTCTCTCTCTGCTCATGTGCACAAATAAAGATGTAGTGCTCCCACCGCATTCCTCCATGTCTTTGACCACAGTGTTCTTCCTCTTTTAAGCCCACTGCAATGACAGTCCCCATGGAATAAAATCTCTAAAATCAGGAGCCCAAATAAGCTTTCCATCCTCTAACTTGTTCTTATCAGGTATTCTTATCACAGTAACAAAAAATTGACAAACACAAAAATTGGTACCTGGAGTGGGTAATTATTTGACTAACTTGACCATGTGGTTCAAGAAGTTTTGTGGCTGCTTTACAAAAGGAATTTGGAAAAGTTTGGAGAAGCTTTAGAATGTTGTAAGTCTTGCTTAACAGGCCAATCTGGTGGAACAAATAAGACCAAAATGCAGATTTTTAAAGAGAATTCTCTAGAAAATTGGACTAGAAGCCACTAATGTTATATTCTAGCAAAGAACTTGCCTATATTTTAGATATGTGCTGAAATTTTGTATGAGGCTAAATTTTAAAAAGACAGATTAAAAATCTGGTGGAGAGAATTTCAAGGTAGCACAGCATTCAGGTAGTGGCATGGATTTAGCTGGCAAATTTTGGCCACATTTACTGTGAGAATTGGTAGCAGAAAGCAGAGCTGAAGGATTTGAAAAACTTGCAGTTTAACCAAAAAATTGCATGCTAAGTAAGGGGGGTGCCAAGTAAGTTGTGCTTATTGAAGAGATTATAACAGATACTTCAGATATTAAGTATTTTACAACAGAGACAATAGGAAAAATGGTTTGAGGGCATCTCAGAAATTTCTAAGACCACACATATTGCAGGTCAAGGGTGTAAAAGTAAAAATCTCTTTGAGAACACAGTGTGGAGGCAGATTGCTTGCATAGGGAACATAGAAAGTTGTTTCACCATGCTCAGCTGCCCAGGCATACATAGGCCACTGCAACCATGAGCCAGCAAGCCCAAGCATTGCACAGGTTGGAAATAGACCTTGGCATCATTAACAAGTTTCTGTTTTTCTGGAATGCAGGATGCTAGAGTTAGGGGATCATTAAGGCTTCCACCAAGATTTCAAATGCAGATCTGGTAAGTAAGGTGTAGCAGCAGAGTCAGAATCCTTGTATACTGACCCTCAGAGGGCAATAGGTATAGCTGTAAATGTGAAGCCAAAGCTGGAAGAGAGACCCATCTGTAAGAGATGCCAGTAATGTGAACTTTCTGCCAAGAAAATCTACAGATGTGAAGAGAGCCTGGCTAAAAGAGGAACCATATGTGCTTCAACTAGTAAGTCCAAAAGGATGGGACTGCCTAAGTCCTTTGTTGAGCACATCTTGTGACCATATGTCCTAGAAGCTATACGTGGAGATACAGGACATATTTGTCTGGCTAGGTTTTGATCTTCTTTTGGTCTCATCCCTTTTTCTATGCCTCAATTCCTCCCTTTTAGGATGGAAATATCAACTCTGTGCCATTAATTATTGAACATATGTAGCTTGCTTTGGGTTTTTATAGTTTAACAGCCAATATTTTCCAAAGAGTCTCAAATTAGACATGGACTTGGACATTTGAGCAATGCTGGAAAAGTTAAGATAATGAGACTGTTAGTCATGGACTGAATGCATTTTGCACTGTGAGATGGACATGAGCTTTTGGGCAACAGGAGAAGAATATAATGGTTTGTATATAAGGTGTATTCCAAAGGCTCTGTGTTAATGCAGAAATTATCAGAGCTGAAATGATTAGACTTTGAGAGCTGTATCCTAATCAGTCCATCCTAGTTTCAATGGGCTAAGTTGATGGTAAAACATTTATTGGAAATTTCACCTTTAAAGTGAATTTATAAACATTCTTTGCCTACACAACTTGTTAAATGTACTCTTATTATACTATGTCTTGGTGAAATTTGATGTTATTCAGAAAGAATAATAAAGGGAATCATACATCAACAAGACATAACAATCACAAATATTTCTTCCCCAAACAATGGAGAATCTACGTACATCAAACAAACCCTTCTCAATTTCAAAAATCAAATAGTTCATTACAAAACTATAGTGGGTGACTTTGACACACTTTTCTCACCACTGGATTGATCTTCCAAACAAAAACTAAACAAAGTAACTATATAATCAATAATTTAGATCTAACAGACTTATATAGAATATTTCATCCATGAATGAGCAAATACACTTTCTTCAAAGTAGCACATAGATCATTCTCTGAAATAGACTATATGTTCTGCCACAAAGCAGCTCTTAGCAAATACAAAAAAGTAGAAATACTACCCTGTATTCTATAAGATCATAATGGGATGAAATTAGAAATCAATGAAAAAATAAAAAATAGAAGCTACTCCGATATATGGAGACTAAAAATATGCAATTGAATGACAAATGGATAGCAGAAGACATCAAGGAGGAGATAAAAAAATTCTTAGAAGTAATGAGAATACCTATACAACATACCAAAATCTCTGGGACACTATGAAGGCAGTGCTAAGAGAAAAGTTCATTGCATTGAGCTCATTCATTAAAGAAATAAAAAGTCAACAAATAAATAACCTACCATCACATCTCAAAGCCCTAGAAAAAGAACAAATCAACACCAAAAGCAGGTAATAGATAGGAAATGATTAAAATCAGAGCTGAAATCAATAAATTGAAACAAAAGAAACAATTGAAAAAATTGACAAAACAAAAAGCTGGTTCTTTGAAAAAATAAATAAAATTGATACACCCTCAGCCACACTAATGAATGAAAGAGAAAGAAAACTCAAATTACTAAAATTTGTGATGAAAAAGGAAATATCATGACAGATATTACTAAAATATAGAAGGTGATTAGAAATGATTAGAAACTACTTTGAAAATTTGTACTCCAATAAAATAGAAATGGGGCAAATACTTCAAAAAATTTCTAGAGACATATGATCTACCCAAACTGAATCAAGAGGACATACACAATTTCAACAGATCAATTTCAAGCAATGAAATTGAAGACACCATCAAAAGCCTACCAACAGCCCTGGACCAGATGGATTCTTAGCCGAGACCTTTAAAGAAGAACTAAACCAATACTCCTCAGAGAGTTCCATGAAATAGAAAAGGAGGGAACCCTTCCAAACTCATTCTATGAGACTAGTATCACTCTGATAACAAAGCCAGACAAAGACACTTCAAGGAAAGAAAACTTTAGGACACTATCCCTGATGAATATAGATGTAAAAATTCTCAATAAAATTCTGTCTCATCACGTACAAAAACACTGAAGAAGATAAAGCACCAAGATTAAGTGGGATTCATCCCATGGATGCAAGATTTGTTTCACCTACAGAAATCAATAAATGTAATTCATCACACCAATAAACTTAATGACAAGAATCATATGAATAGCACTTCTTTGTGTTCAAAACATTAGAAAAACTAGGAATAGTAGGAACATACTTCAACATTTTAATAGCTATATATGTTAAGCACAAGGCCAACATCATTCTAAATGGAGAAAAATTGAAAGCATTCCCTGTAAAAATTCGAATAAGACTAGGATGCCCTTTTTCACTCCTTGTATTCAACATAATCCTTGAAGCTCTAGCCAGAGCAATTAGGTGAAAGAAGTTAAAGTAAAATGAATAGGAAAAGAAGAACTTGAACAATTTTTATTTGTTGAAGACATGATTCTATATTTAGAAGACCCAAAAAAATTCCACCAGAAAACTTCTAGAACCAATAAATGAATTCAGGAAAGTAGCAGTTTATAAAATCAATACCCATAAATCAAATGCATTTTTATACATCACTGATGAATCCTTTGAAAGAGAAATTAGAAAAATTACTCCATTCACAATAACATCAAAATTAAATAAATAAATACTTGGAAATCAATATAACAAAAGAAGTGGAAGACCTCTACAATAAAAACTGCAGAACACTAAAGAAAGAAATTAAAGAAGACCTTAGAAGATAGAAAGATCTCCCATGTCTTGGATAAGCAGAATTAATATTGTCAAAATGGCCATACTACCAAAAGTGTTATACAGATTTAATGTGATTCCATTTAAAATCCCAATGACATTTTTCACAGAAATATTGAAAGCAATCATGAAATTCATTTGAAAAAAAAAAGAGACTGAGAATAGCCAAAGCAATCATTAGCAAGAAAAGTAATGAAGGAGGCATCACAATAGCAGATTTTAAATTATACTACAGAGTTATAGTAACAAAAAAATGGCATAATATTGGTACCAAAATAGACATGTAGATCAATGGTACAGAATAGAAGAAACAGAGACAAACCCACACAATTACAGTTATCTCATACTGGACAAAGGCACCAAAAACATACATTGGAGAAAAGATAGCCTCTTTGACAAATGGTGCTAGGAAAATTGAAAATCTATATGCAGCAAAATAAAATTGAACCCCTATCTTTCACCATGCATAAAACTCAACTCAAAGTTGATCAAGGACCTAGGAATTAGGCCAGAGACCCTGCACCTAATAGAAGTAAAAGTAGGCCCAAATCTTCATCATATTGGCTTAAGATCTGACTTCCTTAACAAGACTCCTAAAGAATAAGAAGTAAAACCAAGATTCAATAAAAGAAATAGATTCAAATTAAAAAGCTTCTTCTCAGCAAAGGAAACAATCAATAACATGAAGCAAGAGCCTACAGAATGGGAGAAAAATCATTACCACACACACATCAGATAGAGCACAAATCTCCAGGATATATAAAGAACTCAAAAACACCAAAAAAAAAAAACTCAATCAATAAATGGGCTAAGTAACTAAACAG